TCAGTGGCGTCTGCCGGGTTGAGGACCTCGTGGCTCTGGTTCTGCCTTGCTAGGGTGCAGCTAGCCTGGTGTGGAAGTGAGGCCATTGATATACCTGCTCGGCATCATCAGAACAGCTGTCTTACTCCCAGGGGCAGCCAGCAGAATACCTAGGAACTGGGGGTCTTTGAGTTGTTCTGGGTGGAAGCAATGGAAGCCCCCTCTCCGTACCCTCTTCCTTGAAGCAGGCTGAGATGGTGGTGAGCGATACACATGCACCTGCATGAAGAGTCCGCGGCGAGGGAGGCTGGCAGCCCCAGGGCCCTGCTGTCTCACCCCCATAGGCACACCAGGCTCCCAGACTGACCAGCTGAACCTCCGTGGGTTCTGCCAGGGCGGTGGCTGGCCATCCGCTGCCCTCCACAGGCCTGTGAGCTGGCCTTTCCCGACCCCTCCAGAAGGGGGCATCTCCAGAGCCTGGCCTCATCTCTCCTGTGTGTTTTGTTTTCTCCTAGAAGGCCAGAAATGCTCACATCAGGATCCGATTGAGAGCTCTGACTCCTATGGTGACCTCTCCGATGCCAGTGACCTGAAGACGCCCGAGAAGCAGAGCACCAATGGCTCCTTCTCCTGCGACATGGCAGTCCCCAAAAACAAAATGGAGTCTGACGGGGAGAAGAAGTACCCCTGCCCTGAATGCGGGAGCTTCTTCCGCTCCAAGTCCTACTTGAACAAACACATCCAGAAGGTGCATGTCCGGGCCCTCGGGGGCCCCCTGGGGGACCTGGGCCCCGCCCTAGGCTCACCTTTTTCTCCCCAGCAGAACATGTCTCTCCTTGAGTCCTTTGGGTTTCAGATTGTTCAGTCAGCGTTTGCATCATCTTTAGTAGATCCTGAGGTTGACCAGCAGCCCATGGGGCCTGAGGGGAAGTGAGGCAGATGCTGTGTCCCCACAGAAATGGCCACTGGGGACTGCTGAGAAATGCTGTGAATGCGGAGGGAAGTAATGTCTTTGGGTTCTGTAGCTGAGAGATTTTTATTCGTTTTTAACTCTCCCTTCCCCCTACCCTGTCACCCCACCCTCTTCCTCTCCACCACCCATCCCTTCAGTGGTCTTTAGAAATAGATTCTCATCTGATACTCTGCAGAAATATCTGCGAGAACTGGTATGGGACAAGGGCAGCAAACACTACATAGGCCTCCAAGGCCACACCAGTCCCAGTTTCTCTAATGGGCAGAAGCTGGAATTCCTGGTGCTCAATTCATAGTGATCCCAATCCCAAACCCACACGTGACGGCATTCAGGGACCTCGGTGATTTGGGTCCCCTCCCCCTTCTCATATCCCTCAAGAGAAACCACATCAGGGTCTCCACACACTTACACAATGCTGATGCCCAACTGTTTTCAAGGAAGCTGGAAGCCTACAGCATCCCATGGACCATGGGGTGAGTGCCCTCTAAGAGCCCCTGAGCTTGACCCGTGACCTGGAGGGCCTCAGACCTTTCTGAGCCCTACCTGGAGGCTAGCATTTTGCTACTAGGACAAGCTCGGCTATTGAGGACACCCCCACCCCAAATTCCAGTTCTTATGTGATTTTAACTATTCAACTTGCTGTTGGGTTTTAATTCTCTAATTATTATTATTGTTATTATTTTTTAGGACCAGTTGTAGTGAATTGCTACTGAAAGCTATCCCAGGTGATACAGAGCTCTTTGTAAACCGCAGTCACACGTTAGGGTTAGTATTAAACTTTGTTTAGATGTACCATAATTAACTTGGCTAGTTGATTGTTTGAAGTCTATGGAAGAAATAGTTTTATGCAAAATTTTAAAAATGCCAGTCTGGTCAGGGAGGTAGCGTGTTCAGTGTTGTTGGTAGCCAGGAAGGCAGGAGAGCTGGCAGGTGGGGACATTGTTGTGTACCTCGGCTGTGTCACATGTGAGCAAGCCCAGGGTGACCTGGTGATGTGAATTGATCTGATCAGACTGTATTAAAAACGTTAGTACGTTACTCTACCTTCTCCCCTGAGTCTGGTTTTTCAGCCAAGGTGGGGGTAGGGGGTCTTTGGGATGCAAAGGGTGGGCACCTGGGGGGGGGGGGGGGAGGTGGGATCCCAGGAGACCTCTCTTCCTCATTGCACCAGCTGCAGCTGCACTGGGATCAATAGGTGGATGTTCCCACTGAGGACCCGGCTGCCTGCATTCACTCATTTGTTCAATAGATACTCACTCCTTTTTGTCTGCACTGCTGTGTGCCAGGCCCAGCCTCAGACCCTGACACAGTGGTGAGCAGGACACCCTTGTGGAGCTTATTGGGAAGGAGACAGTTTATAAGTAAGCAGAGTTAACAATGAGTTCAGGTAACAAGAAGTCCAGGGAGGAAAAACTGGGCAAGGTAGGGATAGGAGCAGGTTGGCTCAAGATGGTGAAGGGCTGGGGTGGAGCTCTGGGAGAGAAGATCTGGAGTTAAAGGGGACCCAACATAACGACTAGCTAGTACCCGAGAAGGGACATGGGCAGGGAGAAGATTCTCATGGCCAAGGGGCTCTAAGAAGCTCAGCAGCATGAAACAACTCCCAACCCTGTTACCTAAAAGGTTGCACCCTTTGTGGTGAATGTGTCAAGAGAAGGAGGAGGGGCACCTGGGTGGCTTAGTTGTTAAGTGGTTAAGCATTAAGCATGACCTCTTGGTTTTGGCTCAGTTCATGATCTCCTAGTTTGTGGGTTCAAGCCCTGTATCAGGCTCTGTACTGACAGTGTGGAGCTTGCTTGGAACTCTCTCTCTCTCTCTCTCTCTCTCTCTCTCTTTCTCTCTTTCTGAGCCACTCCTGCTTATGTTGTCTTTCACAAAATAAACAAATAAATTAAAAAAAGAGAGAAGATGGAAAGACAACAGCAAAAAAAAAAAAGGCAAGAAGTGAGCACAGTGAAGACTTAATGGGAGCAGGAATTGCAACGAGAGGGGATGGCCGACTTAAATCACCCTGGGCATCTTGAGAAACCTCGAGGAAGAGGGAAACCCCTAAACTAATAGAAACAGCATTTAGCCTCCAAACAAGTAGGGAAAAAATGATAAAGGAGAGAAAAATAAACATAGACCAGGAGGAATAAACAAAGTACAAAATGATTTAGACCCACATTAATGTTAATTATGATGCTCTGGTTTAAAGGCAAAGGCTCTGAGCTGGATTTTTTAGAAAACCTCTAAGCCGTCTACATGAAATCTTAGGTAAATTGCTGGGTTCTGTGGCATGTGTGGGATGGAGGTTTGGGCCATTTGGTGTCAGTATCAGAGGAAAGGTCAACCCTAAAATGCTGAGGCCCTGTTCATGTGGCCTTGTGACCACAAGATCTGCCAGCTGGTGACACCCACCGGGTGTTAAGGCAGAGAATCTGGCCTTGAACTGAAGAGATTATCAGTCCTCCCCCCCCACCCCCCGCAAAACCCCTACATGTCCATGGACAGGTAGGGACCACAGGTAGGAAGCAGTATCTGTGCATGGCAGGCGGGGAGCGACAAAGCAAGCAGCCTGCTTCTTCCAAAGCACTACTCACCTGGAGACCTGAGCAGCAAGTCGAGGTACCCTTACCTGCCCCACACCTCTGCATCTCCTCTGTACACCGGTGCCCGTCAGGCCACAGGGAGGAAGACTGTGCAGAACATGGGTGCATAAAGGTGGAATGACTTTGCCATGGTCAAGGGTAAAGAGCTTGAGCTTTGGGGGCTCCTGGGTGGCTCAGTCAGTCAAGCGTCCAACTCTTGGTTTAGGCTCACATCATAATCTCACGGTTCTAGAGTTCAAGCCCCACGTGCTTAGGATTCTTTCCCTCTCTGCCCCTCTCCTACTTGTTCTCTCTTTCTCCCTCAAGAATAAATAAACATTAAAAAGGGGAAAAAAAGCCTGTTTTGGCTGTACAGCTCCACTATCTGCTTACTGTCAACTCCGGGCAAATCTCTGAGCCTCAACTTCCTCATCAGATAAACCAGGCATGAAGATGGGGTGCTTGGGTAGCTCAGTCGGTTAAGCATCCGACTTCAGCTCAGGTTATGATTTCACGGTTTGTGGGTTCAAGCCCCTCATTGGGCTCTGTGCTGACAGCTAGCTCAGAGCCTGGAGCCTGGTTCAGACTCTGTATCTCCCTCTCTCTCTGCTCCTCCCCTGCTCATACTGTCTCTCTCTCAGAAATAAATAAAAAACGTTAAAAAATTGTAAAAAAAAAAACAAAAAACCCTCAGGCATGAAGATTAGGGGAGACCATCATGAGCTAACATTTTCTGTGCTAAATTCTCAGCACAACCTGTGAGGTTGGTTCCATTACCATCCTCCACTTGCAGACCAGCAAACACACTCAGAATGGTAGAGGCATCCCACTCACCCCTGTCCCAGGCCACATAAGAAGTGTCAGAGCCAGCATACAAACTCAGGTCTGTCCTCTGACCCCAGAGCCTTCATTCCCAAGTTCCAGTGACTTCGATGTGACACACATGTAAATGTCTACTACCACGCTCAGCCCAGAGCAGCCCTTACCCTGCTAGGACCCTAGGACAAGGGCTTGCACAGTGCAACAGGAAAAAGCCACGGAGGAAGTCAGGGTCAGTGCTGGAAGGAGTGCCCAGAGGCCCTGTGTGGGTAAGCACTCTTCATGCTTAGGTGACCCTCTCAGGTGTCTTGCACCCCACTCCCAAGTCACTTGGGACTGTGACACCCAGGAAGAGCTGTCACACCAGGAGCCTGTCTAGCCACTGCCTGATGGCCTGGGCAAAGACTGGGCACTGGCCTCACTTCTCCACAGCAGTGATCACCTATCTCTGCCCCTGGCATAGGTGAGGGAAGCCCTGTGGTACCAAAGAACCCTGGGGCGTAGGGCTACTGAGAAATCTGACCACTGATAGCCAAAAGTGGGACCTGGGGACCTGTTGCCTTTGGGGCTGTGGCCAGTCTCAGAACATACTTTCTGAGATGCTTTTTATAATTCTGGCAATTCTCCAAATTTTTGCTTCCTTATCTGTAAAATAGGAGTGACAGGACTGACTTGAGAGGGTTGTAGTGAGGATTAATAATGTATACCAGGTGCTGGGCACAAAGCCAGGCTCCCGATGGGTGACAGTGAACTTCAAGCCCTTCCCTGACTCCCTCTCTTTCTGCTGTCTGCCTTTGTCCCTCTAGAGCCTTGGAGGGACCCCCAAAACTAACTCTCCACAGCAACTTCCCTCCTCTGTATTTCACTTGCTTCCATCCCACATTTTTTACTTGGTATGCCCCAAGCACAAGTCCCCACTTGTGCTTTCATTTTTCATGTATCAGGCCTTTACTTATGCCAACCTTCAACACATCCAATTTCTGACAACAATAACCTCAATAATAATGGCACATGTTGTGTTTACTGAGTGCCAGGTGCCCTTCTAAACACCTCACACACATTGCTTCAGTCTGTCCTTGCAGCTGCCCAAAGAGGTAGACACTATTTTTACAATTAAGCAACTTGCCCCAAACACATAGCTTTAAGAGGTGCACTGAGGACCTGAGCCTAGGCCCAGACTATTTCTTCACGGCTACCCTGCACTGGGAAGTGACATGGCTTGACTCCAGCTGTCCTGTCCAACTGGAGCTCCCCACTCTGCTCCTTCCATTCTCAGTGTGCACCATTCATTTCCAGCCCCAGGCCTTTACCCATGGAACACCATCTACCTGGGAGGCTCTCCCTCCATGGCTCTGGGCGTCTGAATCTCACCCTTTTCACAGCCTCCATTGCCGCTGTTCTCCTGGGTCTTCACCACTGTTCACTGTGGTCTCCAGGGATAGACAGTTGGGTGCAGAGCCCAGTGCCTCCACTTTCTGACTGGGTGACCTCTGGCAGGTGTGTCTCCTCTTCCTAGTGTGGAAAACAAGGATAACAGTTCCTGTTCACAAAACTGCTGGAACGGTTACATGGACTGATCCATTATGAACACATTAGGAAAACAAAGCTCCCTTTTAGTTTACCTGCACTATCTCCTTCACCAGGCCACACCCTCAAAGAATGAATGTAGGCAAACTTTTTCTGTAAAGAGCCAGAGGGTAAACATTTTCATCTTTGTGGGCCATATGGTTTCTGTCATAGCTACTCAACTCTGCCATTGTGTAAGAGCAGCCAGGCACAGACAATACATAAATGGATGGGCATGGCTGTGCTCCAACAGAACTCGTTGATGGACACTGAAATTTGAATTTCATACAATTTTTACATGTTACAAAACATTCTGCTGCTTTTGATTTGTCTCCAACTGTTAAAAAAAGGTACAAACCATTCATAACTCACAGGCTGTACAAAAACGGGCGGCCGGCCAGACTTGTCCCTGAGGCTACAGTTTGCTGACCACCGCCCAGGCTCATCTCTCCAGGTCCTCCCCTGATTTCAAATCTTGGATTTCACCCAGACTGGGGTCCCAGCCCACCACGGGCTCCTAGTTCATGTGAGTGAAGCTGATCTGACACACAGAACTTGTGATTTCTTGGTCTGCAGATCAATTCATCGATCCATGTAGACTGCAATGCCACATTGCCAAACCAAGGTCGTTCTGAGAACTTCAGAGCCTATGCAAAGAGGGGCCTAATGTGCTCAGAACAAGAACTGTCTTCCCGGGTCACCTGTCCTGTTTCCTGGCCCTTTTGTTTTCATTTAAGTCTCCTTTTGGGGCTAGAAGTAGAGGAGGAAGGACAAAGGGAAGAGGGTGGGCAGGGAGCTGGCAGAAGGAAGGACTTGGAGGGAGTGGTGAATGAATCCCATTGCTGTCTGCCCCAGTTCTTCTGGGGGCTTATCTATCTGCTTTCTGGCTTTTCTGAAGGTCTGGACTCAGATGAAGTGATGGCTGCTGGCGTGGGCAGTGAACTCAGAATTTCTCAGTTCTCTTGAGTGCCCCTTGCAAGAGGAAATTCAATAGCCCCTATCTTACATTTGAGTGACGATAGTCAGTACTCACCCTAAAGTTACCTAAAACTGGCCCTTAAGTTATCAGCAACATCTCTAAAATCTATCCTGGGCCCTGGAGAAAGCGGGCTAGTGGAATTTCCTCCAGTTTACCTAATCATGCCTAGCCACTGAGTACCTGGCAGCAGGGCCTCCAGAATTCTAGTCCTTACACAGCCAGCTCCCCACCTTCCCCGTGGCTACCTCTGGCTCTCCTCTGCACCTCTCCAAGAGTGGAGGGTGCCTTTATAACCTGTGAAGCCGTTCGCACTAGCGGTAGAGAGAGGAGGGCAGAGCAATAATGTCTGGATCTGCAGCTCTTACTAAACTGCTGTGCAAGGAAATGACAAATATTTATCTAAGAGAAGAAATCTGTCCCAACAAAACAAGTTTTCTTGGAGGACAAGGCAGTATGGAGGTAGGTGCTTCTGTAACGATTTTTTTTTTTTTTTAAATTTTTATTTATTTCTAGGAGAGAGAGAGAGAGACAGCATGAGCAGGGGAGGGTCAGAGAGAGAGGGAGTCACAGACTGAAACAGGCTCCAGGCTCCGAGCTGGCAGTCAGCACAGAGCCCGACGCGGGGCCCGAACCCACGAACCGCGAGATCACGACCCAAGCGAAAGTCGGACGCTCAACCGACTAAGCCACCCAGGCGCCCCGGAGGTAGGTGCTTCTGAATAAAGCTTCTTTGTATCACTGTGGATGGGCACAACAGGAAAATAACTTATTTTGCTTCAGGGAGAGTCTTCTGCCCTCCCCAAATCTGGTGCCCTACCCTGTGGCCTGTCTATACCAGGCAGAGGTCAAAGCCTGTAGCAACAACTGAAAAGGAAACTGTGTGATTATTGACATCTCTCTCCCTCCTGCAAGGGCATTCTCTCCTGAGTTTCTCCTCTTCCGAGTCAAAATCCCTGCCTTGAGCCTGCTGACTACTTTCATGTCCATGTTAAGGAGCACAAACTCCATGAGTGGCAGGACTGTATTTAATTTTTTTTTCCACTTTTGGATGCTGAAAATTATTTGCTTATTCATGTAGTTTCCTCTGCCTATAAAGTCCTTATGTCTTGACTACCTGAGGAATTTTTATTCAAAAGCTCAGCTCAGATGGCCCCTTGTCTGCATAGCTTTCCCTCCCTGCTCCAGAAGAGAGACAGTTTTCTTCCTTCTTTTTCTTTGTGTGTGTGATGAGAGAGAGCAGGGGAGGGGCAGAGAGAAAGGGAGACAGAGGATCGAAAGCGGGCTCTGTGCTGACAACTGAGAGCCCAAAGCAGGGCTTGAACTCACGAACTGTGAGATCATGACCTGAGCTGAAGTTGGATGCTTAACCAACTGAGCCACCCAGGTGCCCCAGTTTTTATTTATTACATCACTACCATGTGTCACACACCACACCAGAGGCCTTATGTGTTATCATCAATCCTGTGGGGTAGGTACTAATTTATTCTGAGACCCAGAGTAAAATAGGTAACCACCAATGTCACACAGCTGTGACGTTGCCAGAGCTGACTGGGGTCCTGAACTGCCAGACTGTGGAGTCCAGGGCTCCACCACTGTGTTTCCCTCTGGGCCATCTCCCTGTTCTGCACATATTTCTACTTCTGCATCATGTTTTTATGAATTTATCTCCCCATATGAGGCCAGGTTTCTTTGCAAATGGTATTCATGCAAAGATAATTCATTTCTGCATTCTCAATACCTAGAATAGTGCTTGGCACTGAGCAACCACTAATTCATGGAACAGAAATTCTGAGTGGCTGCTGTGTGCTGAGAAAGACTCAATTCCTGTTCTCAAGGATCTTATGAATACAAAGTAGTACAGGACATGGGACATACACACACATGGAGGTACCATAAGAGAGAATGTAATGTGAGAGGTGAAGGGAAATAAATGCTCTGATGATTTGGAGAAGAATAAAGTGCCGGCCAGGTCTGAGAAGATGGCATCAGACTAGGACCATGAAGCACCCTTAGGACTTGAAGATGTCGAATGGGTGTGGGAGGAGCAAGGGAGCTCAGAGAAAAAAGGACATGGACAAATTTGCCCTTGAAGTCCAGATACGAGCTGACGATCAAAGTGACAAATCCCTTCATGTCACTGAGGGAGAAAAGGGCCATTTCAGACTTTGTAGGAGCTGCTGGGAAAAGTCTGCCAGCCATCAGATGGAGGAGAAGAACTGGTCAGGGCATACTGTGCTCCAATGTGGGGGCCAGTGTGGGTGACTGAACAAAGACAATTTCCTAGGAATTCTGTAAATCTCTCATTATAACAAGCACCGCTGCTATTTACTGAGGACACGGTTCTGATTCTCGTGATCATGACACATACACTTGTCTCCATTTCACAAGAAGACCAGCACAGAAAAAACAAATAAATAAACAAAAGCCTGAGATTTAGAACAAGAATATCTTCCAAGGCTTGCTCTTACTTTCCTATGCCAATGGCAGAACTTTTCTGGAAAATTATTAGAATTTATCAAGGGTCTAAAAATGTTTCTATCTTTTAAACCAATAATTCTATTCAGTGGGAGATATCTAGCAAAGTAACCCTAAATAGCTTAATGCACAAAGATGTGGGGCACCTGGGTAGCTCAGTCGGTTAAGCATTTGACTTCGGCTCAGGTCATGATCTCAAAGTTTGTGGGTTCGAGCCCCGTGTCGGGCTCTGTGTTGACAGCTAGCTCAGAGCCTGGAGCCTGTCTTCAGATTCTGTGTCTCCCTCTCTCTCTGACCCCCACCCCTGCTCATGCTGTCTCTATCTCTCTCTCAAAAATAAATAAAACATTTTTTAAAAAGTATATAAATTGTGGAAGCAGCCTAAGTGGTTGGTTAATATACAGCCATTTGAAAATTATGATTACAAAAAATGTTTAAGACCATGGGGGGAAATGTTTGTATTAAGTCGTGATGAGAAAACAGCAGGTTATGGAAAAACAAAATTGCCTAGCTGGTAAGATCTGAACAATGTTAAAAAGATACATGGAAGAAAGGCTGGAAGCAAATGCAATTGCCACTGGTTTATCTGGGTATCATATCCTATATAAACTTGAAGGGTTTTTTTGTTTTTTGTTTTTTTTAATCTTTTTCAATGGCTGCCCTCAGTGATGCCATGTCAAACCCCTTTTTCTCACTGGGTAGCTTAATGATGGATGCTACAGATTCTCAGCTACCTTCAGGAATTAGAATAGTCTCGTTCATAGCAGCACTCTCCACAATAGCTAAAACATGGAAAGAGCCTAAGTGTCCATCAACGGACGAATGGATCAAGAAGATGTGGTTTATCTATACCATGGAATACTACATGGCAATGAGAAAAAAATGAAATCTGGCCTTGTGTAGCAACATGGATGGACCTTGAGGGTATTATGCTGAGCGAAATAAGTCAGGCAGAGAAGGACAAATATCATATGTTTGCACATATAGGAGGATTAGGAGGAACTTAACGGAGGACCATGGGGGAGAAGAAGGGGGGAAATAGTGGGGGAAAGGGGGAGAGGCAAACCATGAGAGACTCTTGAATGCTGACAAAAACTGAGGACTGATGGATGTGGGGGGGGGGTGGGCACGGAGAGGGGCACTTGTGGGGATGAGCACTGGGTGTTATATGGAAACCAACTTGACAATAAACTATTTGTAAAAAAAAAAAAAAATGTAAGATAAGATTCGCATGGTACTAAGATTTCAGGACAATTTTTTTAAACTTGATTTGTTGTTAATCTGTCTAGTTTAATAAAAGTAATTATATTTTATTTGTAAAAAAAAAGGAATTAGAATAGTCTCCCTCTGGTATTTAAGATTAATTTTAAATGTGTACACAAATAAAAATATTCATTTTTGAAATGTCCATCTCAAATTCCCCTTCAAAGCTCCTGCCCTGCCCCTCCCAGGGAAGCTAGACCTGGCCATGGCTCTGGTGGCTTGACATGGCTCTGGTGGCTTGAGGGGAGGGAAGGGGAACACTTCTGTGCTGGCTCCTTTTTGTGAGAGGGCTGGGGACAGGGTTAGGGAGGCCAAGGTCTTCCTCCCTGACAGCCTCAGGGAAGAGGTGGTCTCTCTGTTGGTTGACTGCTGCTCTTCAACGCCACCTTCCTCTGTGAGGCAACATTCGAACACTGGCTCTCTAGTGCAGAACCTTTCTGAATCTCAGTTTCCTTACCTGTAAAATGGAAAGAAAACAAACTACCTTATGTGGGTGATGTGGAAACAGAATAAGATAATGTATGTGGGAGCATTGTCAACTGTAAAACATTATGTAAATGGTATTAGCTATTATTATTCCTTTGGGGAGCCTATTATTTGGAATGTCTACTATTATTTGAAATGGATACCTCCACTAAGAGATCAAATAGGTATTTCACGCAATAAGTAGAAACAGAACTGATGAATTCTCCCATTCTGCCCCTATCTGCTCTTCTCCCAGTAGTCCCCATCTCAGTAAAGAGCAACTCCATTCTTCCAGTGTTTCAGGCCAAAATGTTTGCAGGCAGCCATGGCCCCTTCCTCCTCTCACACCCCACCTCCAACCCATCAACAAACCCTGCTGACTGTACTTTTAAACCACATCTACAATTCAGTAGTCTCTTCCCACTTCCACTACTGCCTGGTCCAAGCCACCTCACCTCTCTCTGGCAACTGTCCTCTAGTGAGTTCTCCTTCTCCACCCTTGCGTTCCTGTATCAGTCTCTGCAGCCAAAGTGAGCCTTGTCGAACCTAAGTCAGTTCACATTGCTTTTGGTTCCAAACCTCTTCAATGGCTTTCCATCTCACTCAAAGAAAAACCCAAAGTCCTTGTCAAGGTGTACAAGGCCCCATATGATCTGGCTACTGGTTTCCTCTCTTACTTTGCTCTCTCCTTCACTCACCTAGCTCCAGCCACTCCACCTATTCACTGCTCCTCCCAAAATCAAAGCATGCTCCTGCCTCAGGGCCTCTGCACTCTCTAGTTCCTCTGCCATGAATACTCTTTCTCCAGATAATCACAGGGATTGCTCCCTCACCTCAATAGAGTTGTTTTTCCCAACCACCAAATTTAGAACAACACACTCTTGCCCTATTCTTCTTTCTTAGCATTTAGCACCCCTGACATGTTACATATTTATGTGCTTTGCCTGCTGCTACGTCCCCAACATCTAGTATAGAAATTAATTCCTTCTAAACCGTTCTGTTTAATGACCTACCAAGTCCAGTGGCAATTTTCATGCCGTTGGGTTCTTCTGGATTGGGTTCCTTTCCTTGTGTATTGGGGAAAGTCACATGCTTTCTTCTAGGTCCTGAAGGGTAACAAAAGCCTACTTCCATGTTCAACTTTAAGTGTAATTACCTTGGCACTTGGGATATAGGGTTGGAGAGAAGAGGAGGGGATTTGCCCCTAGTGTCTGGCCATCTTTAGCCCTCTTCCTGATGTCTGTGACTGGCTGGAGTCTGGCAAGATGCAGTCTGCTACAAGCCACTTTTTTGGGAAGTTGCATTGTGGAAAAGACAAATACACGTAAATAACCAAGAAATGTGATAAGGAGTAGGTAGATGTCAGGCATTTATTGTATTTATAGAAAGTGGAGGGAGGAGTATATACCCAGAACTCTATAGAGATGTTACTGGTCTTAAGAGTTAGGAGATGGGGTCATGTATCCAACATATGACCATGAACTCTAGGGACACTTCCATCTACATTCACCACCCCACTTGCCTCAACTTTCACAGGAAGCCAAAATAAAACTCTGTAGCCACTCAGCCTGAATGGTGACTATGTCTGACCTCAGGGTGCTTTGTCATAAGGGGAGAAGGAGCACATCACTATTGTCAATGTAGAGGCTGATCCCCACCTAATGACCAGCTCATTTATGGGCCCATGTGGTTGTGATACTTGTGGAGTTCTAGTGCTGTAGACTCCAGACCTGTTCTGACCTTAGCTGGTATTGGGCTACCATCCCTGCCCCTTATACAGAAAACTGCACTTCCCTGAACTGTTTTCAACAAGCTGCTCTCTTCCTCCTCAGACCTGCCTGGACTGGCTAGGGCACTCCACAACAATATTCTATTTTTCCTTGGCAGAACTTGGTTCTGGCTCCAATCCTTTGCCATCTGAGGCACCTGTATGCAACTACCTGGGAGAGACCAGCAGGGGGAGCCAGGACAATTCAGATTCTTCAGCTAGACAAGCGGTCAAGGATAAACACTACTTCTCAAGAGGTTCAGGTAGTTTTCTCCTCAATTAAGATACACAGACAACTGTGGATTGAACAAAAGCTCTTTTTAAAAGGGCTATTCTGAAGATTGTGATTCTGACTCGGAGGAACCATGGTGATTGTGGAAGGAATCACATGTTAAAATTCTTAAATAAAAATTTATTGATTTTAATAACTTTGTCTATGTTACATCACACATAATTTAAAAAAATTTAACACTTCTCGTAGAAAGTCAGCATGTATTTTTGGCTCGAAGTTTCTCTAGTGTTTTCTGTGAAGGGAATAAAAATAATTAACAGTTAAAAAAAAAAAAAAAAAAGATACACAGAGCCAGGGGCACCTGGGTGGCTTAGTTAGTTGAGCATCCAACTCTTGATTTCGGCTCAGGTCATGATCTCATGGTTTGTGAGATTGAGCCCCATGTCAGGTTCTGTGCTGACAGCACGTAGCCTGCTTGGGATTCTCTCTCCCTCTCTCACTGCCTTTCTTTCTCTCTCAAAATAAATAAATAAACATTAAAAAAAAAAGATACATAGAAACAAGTGCACTGTTAAAACAGCTGATTGTGAGGTTTAGGTTAGTGGAAAGCCAAATGGAATTCATCCATTTAGTCATCAACAACTATTTATTAAGCACCTATTACATGCCAGGCACTGCATAGAGAGTAATTAATGACAAAGACTGTTAAAGTCTCTAACCTCATACATTAGTGTTAGTGAACTAGGAAAATAAGTAAGTGGAGGTCTAGGCACTTGGATCAAAGTGAATGCATGACAGGTTCATAGGACTCTGGGGATGGGAGACACAAAAGAAGAGAGTGTGAGGCCAGAAAACTCCTGTGATTCTACCAGTGCAAAACAAAACAAAACAAAACAAAACAAAACAAAACAAAACAAAACAAAACACTTTCAGAGAATGTCAGGCTCAATAAAATTGCTAAAAGAAATATAAATGAGAGCACACATTCCAGTATTCAAGGGAAATAGCTTCAACAACAACTAGAAACTGAAAACTTGATCAATACACCGCCTTTGGTTCAAAATAATCTGGTGGGGAAAAGGAGTAAATGGTAGTAGAGCTAAGACAAGATTGGCCACATGTTGATGATTCCACAAGCTGGGTGGCAGGCACCTGCTAATTCATTATATTATTCCCTCTACTTTTGCATATGTTTGAAAATTCCAACTTGATCAATAACCACTATGGTCAAGTTTTACAGAAGACACCCTATTTGTTATGGGGGGAAACTGAGCATCTCTGCTCATCCAAAATTCCTAAAGAGTTCAGAACACATTGAGGCTATAGATATTTTCTCTCCTGTTTCCCTTCTCTCATAGATCTGTTGCCAGAGCCCATGATCTTGATACTTCAAAGAATGGTTCAATGAATCCAAGCTATTCACTGAAGCTCCTTACCTGTGTTATTTACCAAAGCAGGGAAGAAGAAACTTGAAACCTCTCTTGGGGAAAATATTGAGAAGTAAATCCTATCTTCTGTTGCCCAATAGGGAGGGAGTGTGTGGTAATGATGATGAGAAGGGGGTCAATGGGAGTGGGGGATGAATGTTGTTCCTAGTAGCATTGTAAAGTCACTGGGCAACCTTGAACAAATCCCATAATCTCTGGAAGCTCTTCCTTTCTAAAGACAGGGACATAATGCAATATGGAAACAGCACATGTAAATGCTTGTTTTGGCAGCATGAGAAAAGTTCAAAAGATAGGTTCTTTCCCATGTGTCTCATCAGTATGACATCTCAGGAATGGTAATTTACAAATAAGATACAGCAGATTTTAAGGTTGGTGCCACCCTTCACCTCTGGAGAGCTCTGCTTCAAGAAAGAGGTTTTTTTTTTTTTTTTAGCAGGGCTTCTACCCCAGAAATTCAACTCACAACTGGCAGGAAGTATTGGGTCTGAGCTGAGGTAGATGGGAGTGGTCTGAGTTTCTGTGAGAATGATCTAAAGACAGCAGCTTGGGGCGCCTGGGTGGCTCAGTCATTTAAGTGTCCAACTTCAGCTCAGGTCATGATCTCATGGTTTGTGGGTTTGAGCCCCGTGTCCGACTCTGTGCTGACAGCTAGCTCAGAGCCTGGAGCCTGTTTCGTATTCTGTGTTTCCCTCTATCTCTGACCCGCCCCTGCTCATGCTGTCTCTATCTCTCTCAAAATAAATAAATAAATAAATAAATAAATAAAACATTAAAAAATTAAAAATTAAAAAAAATAAAAACAGCAGCTAGCATTCTCTGACATCCAGGAGGTGGGGCTTGACAGCTAATGAGTCTGGATCCAGAAGAAACAGTGCAAACAAGGCTATCTAGAAAAGTTAAAAGCAACCCAGGAAATAGGGTGAAATAAAAGCTTAACAAAAGAAGCATAGCACAGCAAGGCAATAAAATGAACCCTTCATAATGACTTTAAATGACAAGGGTACTGATAATGCAAATGATCCACGAAGAAGTACATGTTCCAAAAAAAAGGAAAATACAAAATACCACAATACACAAATGTACTCAAAAGCACACTTGAAATAATAAAAGTAGAGAGAATTCACAAAGCTACAGTAATCAAAACAACATGGTACCAGCATAATGATAAACACATATGTCAATGGAATAGAATTGAGAGACCAGAAGTAAATTCATATATCTATGGACAACTGATTTTCCACAAGATTCCAAGACCGTTCAATGGGGAAAGCATAGTTCTTCAACAAAGGGTGCTGGGACCACTGGATATACACATGCAAAATGTGACACCAAAAGTACAAGCAACCAAAGATAAAACAAATAAACTAGTCTTCATCAAAATTAAAATCTTTTATTCACCAAAGACTATCAAGAAAGTGAAAGTAGGGGTCCTTGGCTGGCTCAGCTGTTGGAGCTTGCGACTCTTGATCTTGGGGTCTTGAGTTCAAGCTCCAAGTTGGGTGTAGAGATTACTTAAAAATAAACTAATTTTTTTTTAAAAAAGAATATTTTTAAAATATTAAATATATTTGGGAGGGGGGATGGGCATGGAGGAGGACACTTGTGGGGATGAGCACTGAGTGTTATGTGGAAACTAATTTGACAATAAACTATTTGTAAAAAAAAAAAAGAGATGAACAGACAATAATAAAAGTTTTTATTTTGTGTAAAAAAAATAAAATATTAAATATATTTAAAATAAATATTTAAAAAAAAAAAAAGAAAGTGAGGGGCGCCTGGGCGGCTCAGTCGGTTAAGTGTCCAACTTCGGCTCGGGTCATGATCTCACGGTTCATGGGTTCGAGCCCCACGTCAGGTTCTGTGCTGACAGCTCAGAGCCTGGAGCCTGTTTCAGACTCTGTGTCTCCCTCTCTCTCTGCCTCCTCCCCCACTCATGCTCTGCCTCTCTCTGTCTCAAAAATAAATAAAAAACAAAAAAATTTTTAAAAAAGAAAGTGAAAGCACAATCCATAGATTGGAAGAAAATATCTCATATATTTGATAAAAAATCTGCTACCAGATTGTATAAAGAACTCTTACAACTCAACAACAAAAAACACAACCCAATTTAAAAATGGGCAGGGCACCTGGGTAGCTCAGTTAATTGTCTGACTTTGGTTCACATCATGATCTCATGGTTCGTGGGTTCGAGTGCTGCATCAGGCTCAGCACTCACAGTGTGGAGCCTGTTTGGGATTCTCTCATCCCCCCTGCCCCTCCCTCACTCTCTCTATAAACAAACAAACAAACAAACAAATAAACTTTTTTTGTGTGGTCAACAAGCACATGGAAAGATGTTCAACATCTTGTTATTAGTCATTAGGAAAATGCAAATCAAACCCACAGTGAGATACCACTTTACCCCACTAGGATGACAATAATGAAATAAGGGAGGGGTGGGGGGGAGATGGGAATAACAAATGTTACCAAGGATATGGAGAAATTCTAACAGTTACACATTGCTGGTGAGAATGTAAAGGTGTAGCCACTATGGACTGGGTGTTCCACAAAAAGTTAAACATAGAATCATCCAGCAATTCCACTCCTAATTATATACCCCTAAAAAAACTTAAAACAAGAGGGGCACCTGGGTGGCTCAGTTTCCGGCTCTTGACTTTAGCTCAGGTCATGATCTCACAGTTAGTGAGTTCAAGCCCCACATAGGGCTCTACGCTGACAGTGTGGAGCCTGCTTGGGAATTCTCTCTCTCCCTCTCTCTCTGCCCCCTCCTCAACTCATGTACTCTGTGTCTTTCTTTCAAAATAAACAAATAAACTTGAAAAAAAAAACCCTTAAAACAAGTATTAAACAAGAACCTGTACATGAACATTCACAGCAGGATTATTCATAATAGCCAGATGTGGGAAAAAAAGCACCACCAACTGAAGAATGGATAAACAAAATGTGGTATACCCATACAAAGGGATATTATTTGGTCATAAAAAGGAATGGAACACTGATACATGTTACAACACAGATGAATCTTGAAAGCATCATGCCTACTAAAAGAAGCCAGATAAAGAGGTCAAATGTAGTATGGTTCCATTGATACGAAATGCCCAGAATAGGCAAATCCATAGAGACAGAGTGTAGATCAAGGGTTGGAGAGAGGGAAGAATGGGGAGTGACTGGTAACAGACAGTAACTCTCTTTCTGGAGTAATAAAAATGTTCTAGAATTAAGATGGTTGCACAACCTTGTTAATATACTTAAAACTGTTGAACTGTAGCTATAAATCGAATTTGATAGTATGTGAATTATAGCTCAGTTAAAAAAAGAAGAGCATTCATAAGTTTTTTTGGTTATTCAATTTTCTTTTTCTTTTTGTTTGTTTTCCTGTTTTTTTTTTTTTTACAAATAGTTTATTTTCAATTTGGTTTCCATATAACACCCAGTGCTCATCCCCACAAGTGCCCTCCTCCATGCCCATCTCCCCCCTCACCCCCACATCCATCAGTCCTCAGTTTGCTTCTCAGCATTCAAGAGTCTCTCATGGTTTGCCTCTCTCCCTTTCCCCCACCATTTCCCCCCTTCTTCTCCCCC